GCTTGGGCAGCAGAGGGAGACTTCAAATCAACTAACCAACCAACCAACCAACCAACCAACTAACCAACCAACCAATCAACCAACCCCCAAAACCAAAATCACAAAAAAGAATCGTCTCACTGACTAAAGTGGCAGAAGAGGGAGCACTCCCTGCAATCCACTGCTTGGGCAGGGGAAACCCAGGCAAGGCCAAGAGGAGTGAGCTGGCAGAGGATGAAGAAACCAGGTGTCTCAAGTTGCTCTGTTTGCTCATAAAAGCCTCCCTTGTCAGAGTCTGGAATTTCTCTTCTTGTAGTGTCGTTTGGTTATTGGCTTACTCTTTCCCCAAACTCAAGCATGTTCACGTGGTTTGGGAAATCTTGTCGTTTTTTTGGAAATGTAAACATCTTTACACACTTCCTCTAAATAACAAGGTCACTACTAGAGCAACGACATCCTTTGAAGTTGCTTGACTTCTGGCAGGCACCCCATGCCCTTCCCCCACCAACTCTGAGGTCTGAGAAGAAAACTGCTGAATGGTATGCATGGGTTTTAGAGATTACTTTTTGAGAATCTTATGACACCCCTTTGAGATAACTGGCAACAGCACTCTGGGGTGTTGCAAAACCCAACTTGGTAGGGACAGCCTCGCTGATCAGCAGGAGGCCACAGCCAAGACTCTGGCCCAGTGGGGCCTGCACCACTCTGGCGTGGATTGAGGGGGCAAGGATTGCCTCTTCCCCTCTACCTACTGGGCATCTGCACGGATCTGAAGGTCTGCTTGGGGGCACTTCATGGGCATTTGCTTGAGAGCCCCTGACAAACCCTGCTCATGGGTGAGCAGCTGGGTCCCTGGGAGACGAAGCTGGCTCTTTTTTCTCAGGGATAATTTTAGGCTTTCTCTTCCCTGCAACCTTCCCAACTCCCAAGCCCTGGCTTAGCCTCCCAGAGGGACTGCTTGGTTCAGAGACTATACAGCATTCTTTGAAATACAGAGTTGTTCAAAAGAGCCGTGCTGGGGTATGGCCCTGGAGGCATTTTCCATGATCATTTTTCCCCCTTTTGTCCCATTGTTTCAGGGGAGGAAGCAAAACAGTTCAAGGATCAGGTCCTGATAGGCCGTAATAAAGAAATCACATTTTCCTGCCCCTCCTCTTGAACCCAGGGCTTTATTTTCTAGCCTCACTTCCCCACGCCCAATCTGAGAGGAATAGGTTTAGAGGTTGGGAGAGTTTGGGTTGGCAGAACTAAATCTTGTAAGTCTGGATGAGGGAATTAGGGTGGAAGGAGGAGGCTCTGGCTTCTTCATGTGAGGGAGACCTCTGGTGGGATCATGAGAGACTTTGGAGGTACTGTAATACCAGGCCTAGATCAGCCTGGGCAGCATAGTGAGACCCCATTGCTACAAAAACTTTTGTTTTTTTTTTTGAGTTGGAGTCTCACTCTGTCACCCAGACTGGAGTGCAGGGGCTGCTCCTGGCCACTGCAGCCTCGACCTGCTGGGCTCTGGCGATCCTTCCGCCTCGGCCTTC